AACATAAACAAATTTAACAGATACAAATACAACAAACAGAAATACAACAGATACAAATAGTATAACAGATAAAAATGTAGTGTATATCACAGATACAACAGACCATAACACAAAAACCATGATACACATACAATGATACAAATATAACAGATAAAAACAAACTCAATAGAAACAACAGCACGTAAACAAATAAACAAAGGTGATAATCCACGCCTATGCAACAAATAAATATACAGCATATGGTTTGAAAAATACAAAAAATATATAACATTAAAAGCAGAAGAATAAAACACATACAAAGAATACAAATAATACAAACAATACAACTGATGCAGATGCTTCTGATACACTACAGTACGAAACAAATACCCCAGATACACGAATACCCTGAAACACACAAAGAAAAACTAAATGTGAAAATTAATTAAGAACCTCGTTGACAATGTAATCCAGCAGTTCAAATATGGACATCTGTGGTTCTTCGTATGCTAGTCTGTGAGCTATTGTGCGGTTGCATTGTAGTTTTTAAGTGTTGTGTGGTTGGACTGTGTTGTAGTGTGTGGTTGTTGTGAGATAGTGTGTGGTTGTTGTGGGGTTGTCGTGTGATTGTTGAGTGTCGTGCAGTTGTCGTGCAATAGCTGTGTGATTGTTGTGTGTTGTTGTAGCGTGTGATTGTCGTGTGATCTTTGTGTGTTATGCAGTTGTTAAATAGTTGTTGTGTGGTTGTTGTGTGGTTGTTGAGTGTGGTGTGGTTGGCTTGTGTGGTGTGTGATTGTTGTGTGTGATCATCGTGTGGTGTGTGGTTGTTGTGTAGTTGTGTGGCTGTTGCGTGTGGTTGTTGTGTGGCGTGTGTTTGTCAGGTGTTTGTCGTATGATGTACGGTTGTTGTGGTGTGTGATGTGATTGTTGTGTGGTTGTTGCGTGTGATTGTTTATATATTGTTTATTAATGATTTGTTCTCTATTAAAACCATATTCAAAATTCTTCTTTATGCTGATGATGCTAGCTTTTTCTATTCAACTAAATCACCTCTGAAGGATTCGGACTTACTTAATTATAACCTAAAACTTATTACTAACTGGTTTTATACCAATAAACTAAAAATTAACTATCAAAAATGTAATTAAATGATTATTGGTCCGAAGATCCTTACCTTTTGGTCCCTTAAATCTTCATTTGAATAACCATTTAATGGAGAGGTCTTACAGTACAAAATTTTTGGGTCTAATTATCTCAGATAATTTATCTTGGGCTGAACATATTAATACTATTTCTTCTAAATTAAGCAAAATTTTAGGTCTTCTTTATAAAATAAGATACAAACTTAATAAAACTACTTTAATATTGTTGTACAATGCATTTGTTTTTCCTCATCTATCATATTGTAATCTTATCTGGGGCAATAGCCCTGCTGTTGATGTCTCAAAACTGTATAGAATTCAAAAAAAATTTATAAAACTATTATTATATTTAAAAATTACCACTCATGTTGATGAATATTTTTCTTCTTTAGGTCTTCTTACAATATACAAATTACATATTTTTATTGTTGCCTTTTTCATGTTCAAATTTGTCAATAATCTGCTACCATCTAATTTCTCAAATATTTTTTTACTCAAACCTTCACATATTTTTAAATCTACTCGTCACTTCATTCCATATATAATACCATTCAGTAGACTAAAAATTTTAAATGATAGCATATTTATTCTTGCACCCAAAATTTGGTTTACAATTTTGCCTCTATCTGTTACAATTATTTCAAAACCTCGTCTTTTTAAACAACATTGTAAAACTTATTTATTGTCTGATAAACGGCGATTTTTGCAACTATAGTTGTTTTAACCTTATCCAAATCTTATTTGAATAATTTTTGTATATGAGTAATATCAATGATCTGAATAAAACTGTTTTTGTATGTATGTATGTATGTATGTATGGATGGATGTATGTATGTATGTATGTATGTATGTATGTATGTATGATGTATGAATGTATGGATGTATGTATGTATGTATGTGCGTATGTAGGTATGTATATATGTATGTACTCTTACTTTTGAACTATTTGGTTTCATATCATTTAATTTATTGAAATGCGATAGAATCCTAAATTCAAAACTTTAATTTTATGTACTCATTTTGAACTATATCTCTGTTTCATAAGATTAATAGAATAGAATCTGCAGTTCAATAACTTTTGATTTATTTCGATCTAGTTTAATCCTTGATTTTTGTCGAACTATTTTAATTTTTGTTGATCAATGTTGATTTTATTTGGATAGGGTGACTTTCTTACAAGCATTTGGTTGCTTTTTTAGTTTACCCCTCTTTTGAGAAAATAAACGAATTGAATTGAATTGAATATGTATATATATATATATATATATATATATATATATATATATATATATATATATATATATATATATTGGATTAAGACTGTCAGAAATGCAATTATTGATATTGATGATTGTTGTGAGATGTACTGTTGGTGAACGGTATATTGTTGATAAATCTTGTGATACATACTTGTGTTTAAAACAATTGCTTTCTATATATAAAAAAAAACATCTTTTGCGGAAATAATTATCTATGGTCTATACATTTTCGAAACAGCATCCTCATCATTATAATTGACACAATCCTTTTTTTCTTCTAATCTTCCCACAGACAACATAACCAGACTGAAAATGAAGATAGCTAAAATTGAAAGGTGTTTCCCATATGGGTATGCCAGCAATAAAAAGGAGGCGTTTAAGTATTACGTGAATCATCTAGGCTGAGGGAGGGTTTGAGATTTTGTTGAGGGGGTGTTACAGGGCGGGTGGGGATCTGAGGCTTGTTACGTAACAAATTTTTACATAAAAAAATTAAAACTTTTTTGATGAAAAAAAAAGCAATATACGAGGGCAAGTTGTTGGTTACGGAAATGTTATAAAAGGGCAGATATGTTTCAGAAGGGGTGTGAAGGGGTCCAAAAAGTTGTTTTTTGTACTACGTAACATTCGAACGGCCCCAAGGTAACTCATAGAACAGGGCACCAAAAAAGCTGATGTCTGAGTCGTAAAAATCAACTGCTGATTAAACACTTTGAATACCATAGATACAATAGCAAATAATAACATTGATACACATAAAATTATCAAAAGGATCGTAAAGTGAAGATGCGAACTACTCAAGTTAGAGTTGAAATGTGTATTAAACACGAGTTGTATGTCTGCACTCATCTTGGCATAAGCGATCGACATGTATTTCAACAAATCAATACGGAGTGTATAAATAAACCATGATTAATGACACGCAAAGTAAACAGTTTCTTTGCAAACTGCAATAAAAAATAATTGAGGATGGTTCTCATTTACTTCAACAATAAACATAACTCCTCCCATTAATTCAGCAACCAATCACAGAGAAGCTTACACGAGAGTGGCTTGCCAGTGAGGGCAGCCTTCATGTGGTCTTCGTACTTGCTGTCCCTGAAGATCAACTGAATCTCTTCGTTGGTGAGGGGGGGTATGGGGTACCTACCGAGGGCCATCTCGACCAGGGAGAGTCCCATGCTCCATACATCACTCTGCACTGAGTACTGCACGCCCTGTAGCCGTTCAGGCTGCAGTTGCATGGGAGGACGAATGTTGAGATGTTTGTTTGTTTGTGTGTGTATAACTGTCTGTACGTGTGTGTATGTATGTGTGTGTGCGTGGTGCGTGTGTGTAATTAATTGAGGGAGCAAACAATGGAAAAGATGATTGATGCAAACATGCAATTTCAGCTGCACAATAATTTTTTTAAGCCATTTTATTTACAAAACAGTGAAAGGGTCAGCCTAGCAATAAATGCTTATCAAGGGTTGACTCCCATTGAAACTAACAACCAGTCAATTAAAACTAACAACCGCAAAAAACAACACAACAACCGCCACGCAACTACAAGCACACGGCAACAAAAAACAACACGATGGAAGACAACAGGACAACTACCAACCGACATATATGACCGCGTACCGACAAACGAGTTGGCCAGGGAGTCAATCAGCTCACCACTGACACCAAAGTCACACAACTTTATCTCTCCTCTCGTATTCACCAGAATGTTCGATGGTTTCACATCTGTTCAATGGGTGGGTTTGCATGTTTATGTATACAACTATTTATGCAGACAGACAAATGTTTGTGCATACATACATACATACATACATACATACATACATACATACATACATACATACATACATACATACCTACATACATACATACATACATACATACATACATACATATATACATACATACCTACATACATACATACATACACACACACGTACAAATATTTACACATGCATGCAACTGCTTACGTCTGATTGCATTTGTGTATGTATGGTAAGTATAAACGCTTAATTTAAAAGTCCACCATTACTAAATCATCTTGCATTGAAGTAACTATTGAAAAGTTCAATAGTGATTGAAACATGACAACTGAGCTCCTTCCTGCTAACAGCAAAATTAATAGAGTATGCTGTTGCATCGTAAAGTGCAGTGTCATCTCTACAAGACAGGCTGTATGTATGATGAGTCTCACAGTGCAAATTTAAATTTCAAATATATTTAAAATGTTGAAATAACAATGAAAATTAATAAAATTAATAATTAAATTAATAATAATTTACAAATACAAAATTATTGATAGAAGACAAACACACAGGAGATGAAATAAACTAAAGTAAAACAAATAACTAGACGTAGAAACAACATGATGGTCTTCAACATCATTAAGCTGTGTACTATAAACTCGTTAAAGGAGCAAGAGACAAGCTTGCACGGACTCTTAACAGTCCTAATCTCACAAGAATTCTTTTCAAAAGTTAAACAAACCAAACCAAAAAACAAGGGAGAGAAAGAGAAAATAAAATGATTAAAAGAAAAAAAATAAACAGAGAGATAGAAACAGAAAGAGACAAAGAGAAAGGTAGAATGTAAGCTGTTAAAACGAACAAATTTTAAATTCTCGAACGTGCTAAAACGAGGTAAAAAATGCAAAAAATTACAATAATTTGAATAATTTATAATTTAGAACAATTCACAATAGTGGACATTTTCCAGCCACAACACAATAAACAAGTAGACCGAGTAGCACGAACAAATCTTGTTGTTGTTGAAATGTTGTTGATGTTGTCGTTGTTGATGTTGTCGTTGTTGATGTTGTTGATGATGATGTTGTTGATGATGTTGATGTTGTTGTTGATATTGTTGTCGATGTTGTTGTTGATGATGATGTTGTTGTTGTAATTACTTTATTTTCAAAAACGTCCATTTCACTCAAAACAGATTAATTCGGATTAAAAATAAAAAAGAAATTAAGACAGATTGAATTAAATCTCCTCGTGAAGTTTAAAAATTAAAGTAAAAGAGAAGTGACACATGTCAGAAAACCAAAACTACAAATAATAGTAACACAAAACAACTCTATGTTTTTCCACTACTACCGTTTCTACGCCACTTATACCATTATTATTATTATTATTATTATTAACTGTTTGTCTGTGGCGCGAAACATCAACTAATATCAAAAAAGTTGATAGGATGCTGGCGGAGTCAGGCTCGGCGAAACAGTCACTCAAATTGCTGGCCGGAAGAGACAAGAATTGCATCCAGCCTCAACCATGTGTCCACTCTCCGGTGTCAAGGTTTGTTAATTAAAGCAATAAATGGGCCCATTCCCCCATCACAGACATCAGTGGCTGTGTTGGTCGAAGATCGTCGAAGGATTACCGGGGTGCTCCTCTTTAAGTTTACTAGAAAGTATTTAATACAACGGCTTCCCACTGATGCAAACTTATTTTAATGGAGCAAGTCAACAAGATTCTATGTCCACTATGCAGTCATCACCAAACAGACAAACATGTTGTTTCGAACTGTGACTCCACAGCGGCTCTCGCCAGGTACACGGATGGACAGGCATAACAAACTGCTGTCGTCGGTTGTCGACTGGTTGAAGATTTGTGCACCCTCAGACTGTTGCCTATTTGCCGATCTTAATGTAGAAAGTGTGCGTCCAATGTCACAGTTGTTCGACAAGTTGCGGCCGGACATTGCCATTCTCCAAAAAAACAAAATCGAAATTTTAGAGCTCACAATTTGCTACGAAACCAACCTAGCTTCATCACGTGAATACAAACGCCAGAAATATAAAAACTTGAAATTACACTTACATTCAGTCTATAATAACTGTTCGTTAATTATTAACTCATTTGAAATATCACCTGTGGGTTTTTATAACAATTTTAATCTAACTTTGTTTAAAATATTATGGCCGAAATCTTTTAATGAAAAATTGATTAAAGCGGTAATTCACTCGTAATATAGCATTTATTGTGACAGAAACACTACTTAACCGATTTTACTCTCAAGCACTTGTTGGTCAGAGAGCACGAGAGGATCGTACATCATATTCTACATCTTATTCATTTACACTCTAATATATAATTAATAATTTTCGATTGATTTCATTTGGATTTTATCTTTTCGGTAAATAAAAGAATGTTCCCATCATCATCATCATCATCATCATCATCATCATCATCATCATCATCATCATCAACAACAACAACAACAGTACTACTACTATTATGTATTATTACTGCTACAGCTGCTACAACGACTACTACTACTACTACTACACATCCCACCTACTGCTACTACGGACACTCAACTCAAACTAATAGAACTGCTGCTATAACAACTATTCATGATATGATTATAACGATAATAATAATAATAGTAACAATAATAATAATAATAACAATAATAATAATAAAAATATATTGAAAATTAATTTACTAATTAAAAATAAAAATTACAAATGATCAAATGATAATAGAGATAAAAAAAAGAATAAAAAAAAAGCATAATGCCACCTCTGTGTATGATCTGATGCTCTTTCCTTAAGTAGCTCAAACCTTTTAAAACCTGACAATAAAAATAAATGTAATGATTAACTTCGTAATCATCATCATATGACGTCATCATCGTGGTCGTCGTCACGTCATCATCGTTATCACATCAGAGTCCTCATCATCCTCATCTGCATCTGCAATGATCATTATTATCACCAATATCATCACCACCACTATCATATTTAACATCTTTATCATCCTCATCTTCATCGGCTTCTCCATCGTCATCATCTTCTCCATCACCATCATCATCATCATCATCATCTCCTCTATCATCATCATTATCAACATCATCATCATCACCTGCATCAAGCAACTGTGAATAAGATGGACATCAAACTAATATAACTGATTGGATTGTACATAATGTCAATATTTACAACTGACATGTTTTTTGCACATTCATTTAATCATTTTATCATTAAATTATTCATTCACTCACTCACTCACTCACTCACTCACTCACTCAATCAATCAATCAATCAATCAATCAATCAATCAATCATTCATTCAGTTATATTCCGTTTTTAACACCCTCCTCTATTTGTTCATTTACTCAGTCGTTCATTCCTTCCATTCCTTCATCCAGTTAGTCATCTACTTAAAATCCATCTATCCATCCATTCTCTCAATCATTCATCCATTCCTTCATTCATTCAGTCATTCATCGTTTGTTCATTTGGCACATCGGCAAAACGTACAAGTGAACGAACACAAACATACACACAAACTCATAAAAACACAAACAAACAAACGAACGAACAAAGACACAAACAAACAAACAAAGACACAAGCAAAGACACAAACAAACAAACAGCAACAATATATAACATACACAGCAATCAGGCAATAAGATGAATACAAATAACATAAAACATATAAAGAGTAACATGACCAGAAAACATAATTGGAAGCCAATTACGTAATGCACAAACAAACGAAGCTTGCTTCCATACTTTTAATCATGGTGTCATGATGTAAAATGAGTTGATAACAACAATAACAACAACATCAACAAAAACAATAACAACAACATCAACATCAACAACAACAAAATCAGCATCAACAACAACAACAACAAGACATACGATCGTGTTGAAATTTTCTATTAACTATTTTAACTTTTATTAATGTGGGCTGGGTATATGGACTTTTGGACATATGAGCCCACTAGTAATGTTATGTTTAGAAGATACACAGCAAAAACAACATACAACAGGACATACAACAACAACAACAACAACAACATAAACAACAACATACAACACACATATGACACACATACAACAAGAGAAACAACAAGACATACAACAAGACATACAACAAGACATACAACAAGACATACAACACAAGACATACAACAACAACAACATAAACAACAACATACAACACACATATGACACACATACAACAAGAGAAACAACAAGACATACAACAAGACATACAACAAGACATACAACACAAGACATACAACAACAACAACATAAACAACAACATACAACACACATATGACACACATACAACAAGATAAACAACAAGACATACAACACAAGATATACAACAAGACATACAACAACAACATACAACACACATAAAACAAGATATACAACAAGACATACAATGCAACAACAACAACATATATCAAGATATACAACAAGACATACAATACAAAGACATACAGAAACACTAATCATTCCAAGAATGGGTTCAGGTATCCTGCCTATCTTTTTCTGTATGAGATCCAACGACCCACCATCCTATATTTGGTGTGTGTGTGTGTTTGTGTGTGTGTGTGAAAATCTGTGTGTGAGTGTGTGTGTGTGCGCGCGTGTATGTGTGTGAACCCACATTAAAAACATTAATAACACCAATACCAACGACATCAATAGCAGCAACGCCCACAACAACAACAACATTAACCTCAACCTTACCATTAAGAAAACTTTGAAAACGCCCAAAACACATTAACATCAACATAAAGGCTTTAAATAACATTAAAAAAATAATGATAATGATAATAATAACAATAAATAATAAAAACAACAATAATAATAATAGCGAAAACAACAACATTAAAGAGCCTAAAAAAGTAATAAGTCACCCCATCATTCTTCCTTTACTTCCATCAGAACAACATCACAGTCATCACCACTAGCAATATTACCAATATTACACACAACGTAATGATGACGTCATCATAACATTGTTCATCATCTTCATCATCCTCACATCAACAACGACTATTAGTATGAATGCATTTATTTAGAGAATAGTTTATCTGAAACTGTAGCTATTGGGATTGAAATGTATTGAAATGTATTCATCAGGTTCGACTGTTGTTGGTGACTTTTGTTTCTGTGGATCTATTGCAGTTAATTTGCGATCGTGAATTTAATAATTGGCGCCCTATAAATTTTCTAACAAATTTTCTATTATGCTCACCTCTTTCAATAGCAGATAATAAATACATCATACGTTCACCAGAGCACTATCATCATCATCATCATCATCATCATCATCATCACATCAGTCAGTTCTTTATCAGTTTTCATCATCATCATCACAATCATCATAACCATCAGTCAGTTCATTATTAGTTTCATCACTTTCATCATCATCACCACTTTCGTCATCATCACCACTTTCGTCATCATCGTCATCGTCACCATCATTACAATTCCATAACAATTGTACAAAATGAACGATAATCAGCATGAGACCGTACTATCGAAAATCAATGGCGCGAAATCAAAGCAGATCAGTCCTTTACGAATGCATGGCGAATTGATGAGTTTTATCTATTCCTATTTCAATGTGAAAGATTGAACGAACGAACAAATGAATTTATTCATCCATTCATTTTCTCATTCATTCATTTATTCTTTTATTATACCGTCATATATATATATTGTGTACCATTATTCATTCTTTTATTCATCCATTTGTTCGTTAAATAAAATAATAAAAATGGGTGACAAATAAATGAATAAGGAGATGAATGAATGAATGAATGAATGAACGACTGAGAGAATGAATGAATGAATATTGATATAGTGGAAATGGAAAGTGCATGCGATAAATATTAAGAAAAACCTTTAAGAAGGGTCCTTTAACGTTCGGTTTGTTACTTCAAACAGAGACCGAACAAATCATACACAACACTATGAACAAACAAACATCATATCAAACACACACACACACACTCACGCACACACAAAACATACACTCACGCATACACACACACACACACACACACACACACACACACACACACACACACACACACACACACACACATGTAGACACACAAACCCAAAACTGACCATGTACTCCATGCAAATACTCAGTTCACCACCGCTAAGAAATGAACCATAGTAGCCAACGATGTATGGAGAGTTGCAGTAGTTTAGTACCTGGAGTTCCCTAGTGATCTGGTTGCGGGCTGCTAGCTTGATCTCCAACTTGATCAGCTGTTTCATGGTTGTGTTGTTGTTGGCATGTGTACCGTTATTTGATTGCTATATTGTATGTTGTTTGTATGGTGTTGTTTATAATATATATATGTTGTTTATATGCTGATTGTATGTTTGTTGGTGTTTGTATGTTGTTTGTTTGTTTGTTTGTATGTATGTTGTTTGTGTGTTGTTTGTATGTATGTTTTTTGCATCTTGTTTGAATGTTGTTTGTATGGTGTTTGTATGGTGTTTGTATGTTGTTTTTGTGTTGTTTGTATGTATGTTGTTTGTATGGTGTTGTTTGTATGGTGTTGTTTGCATTGCGTTGTCACCATTATCAATATCAATGTATCATTTGTATCATTGTTATCATTATCATTTCTATCATCGTTATTATCTTCGTCAACGTCTGTATCATAATAACAATAATAATCATCCCCATAATAATAATAATAATCGTCGTCGTCATCATCGTCATCATCATCTTTATCACCATCATCATTACCTCCATTGTTATCCTCACCATCATCATCATCATCATCGTCGTCGTTATCACCATCATCATCATCATCATACGCATTTGATATATAGTCTAGGAATGATTCAAGAAAAACTTGAAAAAAAATGTGAAGGCAAATCTAAAAGCAAAAAAATTTTAAGCAATTATCTAAATATCATTTTCAATAATAATAATAATAATAAAAACAACAACAACAACAATAATAATAATAATAATAATAATAATAATTAGCTTTTCCAGAGATGATGATGATGATGATGATGACTATGACGGTCGTCATCATGATATTGATCACCATGGAACCTACCATTCTAAGAGGAACCCACCACTGACACCGAGATCATAATCATGATTATTTATTTTGAGAATCATCATCAGCAGCCTCAACTATAGCTGCCAATCACCAATGTGTTTTTAACTCCATATCACCCCATAATCATCAATATCTCCATCATCGGCATCGTTATTATCACCACCACCACAATCATCATCATCATCATAATCCTCTTACTCATCATCATCATCATCCTCATCATTATCATTCTCATCATCATCATCATCATCTTCTTCTTCTTCTTACTCATCATCACCATTATCATCAGTACAATCATTTGCAGGATATTCATCACCAACTTCATGAGTTGCTGATGAAATTTTTAAGGTAATGATTCCTAGGAAGACATATGCCTATATTAGATTTCAGGCTTGAAAATTTAATTTGCGCAACATCATCAACGACAACATCAACAACAACATCTTCCT